GAGAGGTGCAAACAGGAGGGTTTGTTCTTGCTGTCTCAAGGCTGGCAGAGGGAGAAGAAAACTCACATATGGGCCCATACAGTTCAGACCTGTGTTGTTCAAGAGTCAACTGTACTTCACTGCTGCATGCAAAAATGAAATCTGAACAAAATTATTAGTACTTCAGTGAAGATTTTCTTTTCTTGTATTATCTAGAACTTACATGAGGTTTTTTTTTTTAAATCAAATCTGTTTTATGAGTATCATCATATATTTATGGAGGAGTGATCTTTTAAAAGATTCCCATAGACAAGTGTCCTCCTAGTTCTGTAGATTGTTCAATGATTCCCTTTCCAGGAAGTATTTACCCTGCTGGAAAAGAATAGCAAGCTACTAGGTGTAAAACAAATCACACAAAAGATTTTCTTTTCCCATCTTACAGGTTTATTTAGACAAGTAAGACCTTGTTATATTTTAAATGGCACTTACCTGCCTAACACTCTCCAGTGCTTTGTCTCAAGCTTAGAATCTAGACTTTTACTGTGACCCGTGGCCCATATCTGGCTCTACCAGCTTTCTGATTCTCTCTTCTGAGACTCTGTTCTCTCATAAATGGTGGTTCCACTTGGCTTCTTTCTATTCTTATACATCAAGATCCCTCCTGCCTCCTTTGTGCTTACTGATCCTAAAGCTCTCCCCTCAGATCTTCAGCACTAGACTCAAGTATCCTCCAGTAAAGGTTCTTTCCTTACCAAGCAGCCTAAAGTAGTCACTCGGACTGACTTTGTGTTCTGTGATCAAGGGTCAGAAAAAGACAAATGCCGGTATTTGTGCCACACACATGTAGATTGTTTTTAAGCTCCAAGAGTAAAAAGCACATACATATTGTGGTTTTTTTTGGACCCAACAGTTCTATTTTGTTGTCCTTTTTTATATGCTTTGTTCCATTAATTAGCAGAAATTGTCTTGCTTTGTCGTTGGTTTGCTCCCTAGATCATAGACTGTGTTCCTAGATAGACTGGTTTCCAGTCCTCCCTCAATGCATTAGTCAAGGTTTTCCAGAGAAACGGAACCAATAGAAGATGTGTCTACAATGAGATTTACTTAAGGAATTGGCTCATGCATTTATGGAGGCAATAAAGCCCTACGATCTGCTCACGGCTGCAAGCTGGAGACCCAGGAAAGCTGGTGGTGTAGTTCAGAAGCGTGAGATGTAGAGAGCTGATGGTATGGATTCCAGTCAGGCTCTAGGCCTGAGAATCAAGGGCAGATCAATGTCCAGCTCAAGCAGTCAGGCAAACAGAGAATGCAGCCTTCATTTTTTTGTTCTGTTCAGGCCCTCGGTGGATTCAATGATGCACACATTGATCGGGGCCATCTGCTTTACTCAGTTTACTGGTTCAAGTGCCAAAGTCTTTTAGGAAGTCCTCACTGACGTGCTCAGAAATAACGTTTAGCCAGATATCTGGGCATTTCATGAACCAGCTAACCCATTTGTGCCAGAGGCTGCAAATTTTTTTGTGAAAAACCAGACCTTGAGCAGTAGGGTATAAATAATTCATTCCCACAAGCTTAGTGTTCCAATGATGAAACACTAGGCATAAATGGGTTAAGTTGACATGTAAAACTAACCATCCCATTCAGTTACCTTATTAGATTGTCATAAAGACTGAGTTAATATATGACAAGCCCTTAAAATAGTGTCATGCACATAGCAGCAATATGTGTGTTACTTGCTATTAATAATGTCATTACTATTATGATGGTAGTGGTTTTGTTTGTTCTCTTCAATTCTGCATCCTCATTGCCAAAAATAATACTTGGAGCTTAGTATGTGCGCACTTAATATTTGTTGAATGAATTAAAAGGATCTACTAGAATAAGTTTCATATGTAAAATAATAGCACCTGAGTATTTCTACTTGTGAAATGTGGATCATGTTGTGCTTTGTCACTGAAAACAGTTGATTTTGGCAGTGCCCATATTACTTTTGTTTTTAAAAATGTACACATTTTATATGATTTTTTAAAGGTTAAAATAGGAATGTTACATTATCTAAGCATATTTTCATATTTGAGAAATAGAAACCATTTTTTGAGAGAAAAATTGCCATTAATGTTTTTAAGAAAGTCTGGGGTAAACGTATTAGTTTATAGTTGAAATTACTTGCATTTTGAATCAGAGGAGTTGTATTTTTAAATTTCTTAACTTTTCACATTTTTTCCCAAAATGAAATATACCCTGAGTATTCTAATTCCACACCATGTCATGTCCTAATTATAGCAGCACTAAAAAGTGTTTGATGGAATCTGTCAGACTAAAGATCAACTTTCCCTGTATACAATAAATCGCAATGCTCTTGCTTACATTATACAGATTTTTGTTTTAAGGTATGAAGCTTCTCTTCATTAAATAAACTTTCCTTTTTTATTTGAATTTCACATTTTTGCCTCAGATAAGAAACCAGTCAATTATAAAACATAAGACTAATGTGAAGTTACTTTTATTCTAAGTAGAAATGTACTTTACTATATCTCTATAATAGTCTATAGCCAAAGTACTATTAATTTTCATCAGATTTCAAGACAGTTTCATTACTTAGAGTCACACCTTTTATGTATGCACAGTGGACATAAGTGAAGGTTGAGTAAGGAGAAAAAAGTTGAAGCCATTACTTGACAACACGTTAGTGTTCTGACCTTAATATAATAGTTTGATTATCCTAAGTTTGAAGTTTTCCTTCCATGCTCTAGACACTAAGTTGAATAGGAACCTGACTGGACCCTGATGTGTTTTTTAAAGGTAGTATATATGAACCATTTTGTCTTTTTAAGTTTTATGCACTAATCACTCAAGGCTATTGTAGACATTCTTGAAACAATTTTTTTTTAATTTTCATATTTTTTCTTTTTTTAAATTTTTTTTCTTGAAACAATTTTAAATACCCCAGAAATAAACTCAGAAGTAACAAAAATATCAGTTCAGTAGAGAACCATTCTTTAGTTTTTTAAGTTAACGAGAACCACCAAGCATGGTGGCTCATGCCTATAACCCCAGCACTTTGGGAGGCTCAGGCAGGATGATTGCTTGAGCCCATGAGTTCAAAACCAACTGCAGCAACATAGTGAGACCTCGTCTCTATAAAAAATAAAATAAATTAGCTGGATATGATGGCATGTGCCTGTAGTCCCCAGCTGCTCAAGAGACTGAGGTGGGAGGATCCCTTGAGCCTAGAAAGCTAAGGGTACAGTGAGCCATGATCGTGCCATTATATTCTAGGATGGGTGACGGGGAAACCTTGTCCCCCCAAAATAAAAATAAATTGACTAGAACCTAATGAAATTGAAATTGAGAAGTACCAGACAATACTGACTCTAATTTTTACTCTTGCAGGGATTTTTCTGTTCAGTAGGATGCATTTAAATGGGCATTGATCATAAATAGTTTTACACATCTGGCTAAGACCCATGAGTATTTCCACTCATATTATCTGTTAAGTTAATAAATTTCTATTTAGAATCAATTAAATTTTAGTGGCTTATGGCTATTTTTTAATATTAGAAAGGAATCATTATTTTATTAAAAGTATAAAGCTTTAATCAAGAAAACTTGATTTTTAGGTGAGTGTTTAGGTCTAGTTAGCTGACTTTTTATTTCAGTCAACGGTTATCCAAAAGGTATTTTTATTTGCCCAAATTATTTTCTGCAAATTCTTTCTAATATATTAGATCACTTTCCTGACTTAGTAACATTTAGTTTATAGATTGAAATCTTTTACTGATAAAGATTTACTAAGGCACCACTTATAAACAACGTAGTTTAAGGTAGTGGTTCTCAACTGGGTGTGATTTTGCCTTGTAGAGGACATTTGGCACTGTCTGGAGTAATTTTTTATTGTCCTGACTTGGAATGGGAGGGATGCTATTGGCATCTAGTGAGTTGAGGCCAGGGATGCTGTTAAACATCCTATATATCGTGTACAAGACACTCCCCTCCTCCAAAGAGTTACCTAGTACAAAATGTCAGTAATGCTAGGGTTGAGAAACTGGTTTAAAATCAGTAATGATTTGTGCCATCATTGCACATCCAAAAAAAAATTTATCATAGACACTGAAGATAATTTCAGAAGTACTTTGACTTAAAAAAATCAGAATTTTTAAAAATAAGCTTTTAGCTCTTGAGCTGATTGCTTTGAAGAATATTTATCTATCTAGGCATCGAGAAGGTTATTTTTTAAACATTATTTCCTGCTGCTTCTTAGTTATTGCACAAAAGTGTGGACAGGACCCAGGCATGATAGCCTCTTGGAGTGATTCAGATGTGCGTATTGATTACCATGAGGTTATATGTTGTTTGGTAGCAGTGAAAGAAAATGATTTGAAGGGAATAGAGGAGGCCTTAGCTGAACCAAGAACTATGAACTAACTCTTTAGTTTGTGCTGCCCACAGTGAAGACAGATTATTTAAATTAAAGACAGTATATATTTTGTTTTTCTTTCCTTAACTCTAGGATTCTTTCATAATCCTAAATGTCAACCTGAGCGGGGTGGATTTTTTTGTTTGCCTTAGCTGATGCTAGTTCCCATTTTTCCATAGCCTTGAATTTACAGGCATTCTCACAGCCACTTTCTATCTAGATCTCAGTAGTATGTTTTGCCGTAGTTTGTGGGTTTTCTCCTTCCAAGTACTTGCTCACACTGTCAGAGATCATCAGAGTGAATTCCGTGCTTTAAGTTAGGATAGATGGTGTATGTTGGAAAATGCAACGCACTTTGACACCAAAGCCTGGGAGAAAAGCAACGCGTATCTCTTCTTGAACTGTTGACTTAAAATTAAGTCACATCTTTAAAAAGTGACCTACTTAACAATTTTATAGGATCGTGAATTAAAATTTATCCCAGAGTTGTTATCTATACTTTTAGCTTTGACTTTTACATTCACATTTTTTTTTTAAAGATTTTCCTTTGGCTAGAAGTGAAGCTCTTGAAGACATTTTTCATTGTTATCATTTTCCCTTATAGGTCTACTTCCCCAGCAGGACAGCATCATTCTCCTATATCTTCTAGACATCACTCATCTTCCTCACAATCGGGATCATCTATTCAAAGACATTCTCCTTCTCCTCGTCGAAAAAGAACTCCTTCACCATCTTATCAGCGGACACTAACTCCACCTTTACGACGCTCTGCCTCTCCTTATCCTTCACATTCTTTGTCTTCTCCTCAGAGAAAGCAGAGTCCTCCAAGACATCGCTCTCCAATGCGAGAGAAAGGGAGACATGATCATGAACGAACTTCACAGTCTCATGATCGACGTCATGAGAGGAGGGAAGGTGTGTACTGTACTTTGATTTATTTTTAATTAAAAAATTGGACATCAAGCTTTATTGTTGTAATAAGAGATAGAGGAGGACAAGTCTTCTGTAAGACTTAGACTAGAATTCTTGAAGGCAATAGGAGATGCTTAACAGCAATGGTAATGTAAGCTGTTAGGTATATACGAGTTGGTATTTACAGGTATGCTAAGTTGGTGCTTTCCTTAGTTAAGATGTTCTGCTGAGTATAGTACTCTCTAGTCTAGACATTTTTGGCCATCTGTTTCTTAGAGCATCCTTTCCATTTGCTTAGTTAATGTCTTTTGAAAACAAGGAAATGGGGGGAAGAAAAGCTACAAATCAGGGAGCATAATTTGAAAGCATCAGAAGTGTTTTGATAAAGGAGTGAGGGCTAGGGGGAATTTCAGAAGGTCATTGCAAACCAAGTCATCAGATTTCTAGGTCATAATAAAGAAGTAAGCAAAGCAGCTTTCCTTTCTAGGTCCCCGAGAATTAAGTTAACTTTGGATTTGCTACTCCCTGTTCAAGCTAAGATTTTATTGTTACCTGGCAATAAAGCCTGTTTAATGGCTCTCATCTCTTTCTATACTTCTTGTCTTTGTAGATTTAACTTAAGTCTGTTTTCTAACTTCTCCTGTTTTCATTTTTAACACAGTGAGTACTTGGGAAATGCTCACTTGCAGCAACATTTATATTTAATATACATTTTAAGTACCTCTCTGTGAGTGGAGTACCTATGAAACATGTTGAATTTATTATTTTCTTCCTATCAGCAGTGCAAGCAATAATTAATAAGGGTCTTTTATTCAAGAAAATGGCCGAAGAGAATGATATTCAAGAAAATAGGTAGATACTGGAAAAAGCACCTATTTGATAGAATCCTTTTTATATGTATGATTTTGATGTTAGGTCAGCACAGCAGTATTTATGGAACATTGGTAAAATGGGAACATTCTCTTATATTGTACCTTTCTGTAAATTGTAATAAGATATTTAACAACTAGAGTTGACCAGGAATATAATACATATTTAATGACTACTTATTGAATGAAAACTTCATTATTATTATTAAACATACTAATAAAGGGAAAATAATAAGCAATTGAGTCTCATAGGAATGCTTGTGTTAAGAGAGGATTATGTTACAAGAAGAGTCCTGGTAACAAACCGTATGTGTTTTAAGTTCTTTGCAGGGAAGATGTCTGTTTAACCTTCCATACAGGAGATTTAGTAAGCAGTTGCTCCTCTCTATTTAGATGTCACTTTTCGAAATAAGGATAATTTCAGTGGAAGGATAGGGAGGTAGGTAAAGTACAAAATACAGTACCTAGACGTATTTGTAAAGACAGATGGGCTCATCATGAGAAAGATCTGGCACTAAGTGAACAGATTTTCAGGCACAGTTGGTATTGGGGGAGGAGTAGAAGTGAAAGGAGCAGAAAAGGATTGAGATACATCAGATCTTTGCCTCTTGGCTTTTGTCCTTAAACAGCATTTGTGGATATGGGTATATGAACAAAGGAGGGGGAGATAGGGTATTGATGAGGGTCTAAGGGCCTTGTGTATACAAGATGTTTGGGCCTATGAAAAAGTCTGTGGGCCTAGCCACCAGGGACAAAGAGAAAAGGAGATAAACTTAGAATGTTTTGGGCATGAGGCTGCTAGAGCTGCCAAAATAACCTCAGACTGGGGCAATTCCAGGGTGTAAGAGCAACTTGCAGAAGAATCTGATAAAAAGAGCAGGGTTTATTCTTTGGGGTTCTCTTGTTAATTCTTTGACTTCATATCAGATTTCAATTTATAATCAATTAAAATCAATTTATGCCCTTTCTAAATATATGTAAAGAGTGGTTTCTAATCTTTGCAAATTGTGGGGTTGACTAAGCCATCTAAGCTTTAGGCCTCTGTTTCTTTATAATAAAATGACATGGTTGGTTTAGATAATCAGTGTGGTTCATTCCAGCTTTTTAAAAGTGAGTTTTTTTTTTTTCTATGAAATTCTTTTTTGTTTGTTTGTTTGTTTGTTTTAAAGAGAGAATCTCATCTTACTTTGTTGCCCAGGCTGAATTCAAACTCCTGGGCATAAGCGATCTTCCTACCTCAGCCTCCCAAGTAGCTGGCACTGTAGGTACATGCCATCACACCTAGCTAGAAAAATGCTCTAAGTGGAGAAAGCTTTAAAGACTTGCATACATGAGTGTTATACCATTAGCGCAGGAAAAGAGAGTGAATAACAGTATCTCTTAACCAGCTAGCTTACTAACCATAGGTTACCCTCTAGTACCGAAGTACCTTTGAGGAGGTCACATATTGTCTAGGCTAGCCTAGCCTAATAGTTGATAGAAGAAATTAAAGTAACTGAAGTGTCTCTGTCTGTATGCAAAAGTGGCTTCTGAAAACAAGCCATCAGTGATAGGAGATGAACTTGTTTCAGCTGTTTGGGATCTGTAAGTATAGGTAAGTTGGGGCAGAGGAAATCCATGTTCAGAGTTTAGCCAATGAAGAATGTGGTTATCAAGTGTTAATTATCTCTGGGATTTTAGCCTCTTATTTATTTATTTTTTTGCAAAGAATATGAATTGTCATTGTAATAAAATTTTTGAAGTTCTGTATTCATATGTTGTCTAGTTTCCTGAAACTTTGTAAAAGCAATTATAGTCGATTTCCAAAATTGCATTACAGAGACTAGGGGCAAACGAGACAGAGAAAAGGACTCAAGAGAAGAACGAGAGTATGAACAGGATCAGAGCTCCTCTAGAGACCACAGAGATGACAGAGAACCTCGAGATGGTCGGGATCGGAGAGATGCCAGAGATACTAGGGAGCGAAGGGAACTAAGAGACTCCAGAGACATTCGGGATTCAAGGGAGATGAGGGATTATAGCAGAGATGCCAAAGAGAACCGTGATCCCAGAGATTCTCGGTCCACTCGTGATGCCCACGACTACAGGGACCGTGAAGGTCGAGACACTCATCGAAAGGAGGAGACATACCCAGAAGAATCCCGGAGTTATGGCCGAAACCATTTGAGAGAAGAAAGTTCTCGTAATGAAATAAGGAATGAGTCCAGAAATGAGTCTCGAAGTGAAATTAGGAATGACCGAATGGGCAGAAGTAGGGGGAGAGTTCCTGAGTTACCTGAGAAGGGTAAGGTTTTTGACTTGTCAGTGAACTGTATTATATGCTCATGTAGAAAGTATAAAATCTCTTCTAAGATTTCCAGTGTGTTATTTCTTACATTTGTTAACATTTCATCACAGTAATTTTTAATTAATTGAACTTGGCAGTCTTCCTTATAAATTCCTAGTTGGAATTACTACTTAAAATAGCAAAAGATAAATGGAGCTTGAGCTAGACCCCCTGATCTAATTATATCCAGTCATGCATATCGTCTTGATTGATGTGGAACACTAAGAAAATCAGAATCAGACAAAAAAGTAGAATCACAAGGAAGTTAATTTCTGTTAAATAGGTATAAATACAATAAAAATGTTCATTAAATTAAAGTGGTGCGTTTTCAAAATCGTTGGCATCAGAAATGACTGGTTTGTGTATTCTTCAGTATTTGTACTTGCTTCAGACCCTGTCAGTCTGTCATTATCTTGAGCCATTTTTCTTTTCATAAGAAGCATTTGCCATCACCCAAGTGACTTAAATATATTTGTAACTATTTCCAAACTGCTGCGATTTAATGATCATGACCTCTTTTCCTCCACCCACTGTTCTCCCCTTTCCCCAACCACGACTGCAGAACTTTGATCACTTTTATTGTTTCCATTGGTCTGTTGGTCAATCCTTGGTCAGGGTTACAGCCTCATATTTGTGTTGAGGGTCCTTTACCTTTAGCTTCTTTGGAGCTGTCTTGTTTTTTCTTGACCCGTTACTTTTTCATATCAATTTTAGAAAACAGTTTTTAATTTCATTAAAAAAACTATTGGATTTTTATTTCTAATGCATCAACTTAATCACTTTATAATATTTTTTACATTTTTTTCCTTGGTATCCTCTATTTTTGTTGCCATTGTAAATGGCATTTTGTAAGTTAAAAATTTTTTTAAATTATGCATTTACCTGGTTCAAAATTTTGAATATATAAAAGGATATATAATGAAAAGCCTCCCTCGTACCCTGACCCTTCTTTTGCCAACTTTGTGTGTATTCTTCCCAAAAAAACATTTTACACAAGCAAATATATATTTGCTTGTTTTCTCCTCTGGTTTTACAAAAATAATTTTTAAATACACAAAAAAACTATGTACTGTTGTATATCTACTGTTTTCAACTAGGTAAAATATTTTTCATATCTTTCTTTGTAGTAAACAGCTATTTTCTTCTCTTGGCACATGTTGTCTATTGTGGAATATACAATAAAGTCAGCAAGTGCTGCATTACTGGGTATATTGGCTTTTCAGTCTTTATCTCTTTCAAGCAGTGCTTTAGTGAATAACTGTGTACATATGTCACTAAATGGTATGTTCTAAAACATTGCATTTTCTAATACTTTGTTGGTAAATGGACATGGTCATTGGCATTTGTATATTAATCTTACATTTAAATGATGTTGCTGTATTTTCTTGATCTAATTAGAATCTCTTAACAAATGTTTCTAGGAACAGACCGGGCTCTTCTTTTCTGATTACTAATCTTCTGTCAATAACCTGCTGAGCATCGTTATCAATACAGTGTTAAATATAAGGAGAGAGGGCTTTGCTTTGTTTTGGATTTTAAAGGATTGTTGTTGGCATTTTATTACTAAGTATGGTGTTTGTATATTTTTTGCAAATACTTTTTATTGTGTTGAGGCTTAAATTCCCTCCTCCCATTTTAGTTGTCAGAAAATATTCTGTTGAAAGTCAGTTCTTTGGGGTGTGTATTTGTTAACTCTTATTTTGTGGCGCAGTGGCCTGTTTTTATAAGTATGTTGCATATACTTTCAAGGGAGTTGCATTTGTAATGGTTGAAAGCAAAGAGTTTTTCTAAGATACAGTTTGTTTAACTACACTTTCAAATCTGCATGTTAGTTTTTGTAGTCTGCTTGTTCTGTCATTACAGAGAACTGAGTCAAATATTCCACTGTCATTGTGGAATTTGTGCATTTGTTGATTTCTTCGTATAGTTTGATTTTTTTTTTATTTGAATATTTTGAGGCTTTGCTCTTAGGTACACATAAGGTGAGCTATTTATTTCTTTATTTATAAAATGGCTCTTCAGCCCAGGTTCAGGTTGAACTGATCTGAACCTGATCTGAAATGCTCCAAAATCTAAAATTTTTAAATATTTTTTCTTTTTACTATAGCTCCTAGCAACTCTAATAAAATTCAGATGTTTTGAGAGCTGACATAACCCTCAGAAGAAACGCTCATTGGAGCATTTTGGATTTCCAGTTTTCAAATTCGGGATGCTGAACCAATATAATACAAATATTCCAGAATCCAGAGCACTCATCCCAAGCATTTTCGATAAAGGATATCCAGCCTGTATTTGTCTTGAAGATTGTTTTGCTGGCAGCTGTCTTTTGGTTAATACTTGTTTGATATATCTTTTTCCTTCCTTTCCGGCTTTTATTCTTTTTTTTAAAATGTGACTTTAAATAACGTATCGTTTTAGGCATATTAAATCTCTTCCTTGTATCTTCTTTCATTCTTTCAAATTTTTCATCTCTATATCTCTGTTTTGCCTCTGGGTCGTATTCTCAGGCTTATTTCATACTTTACCAATTTTTTCTCAGCTTCATTGAATCTGATGTTTAACCCATTTGGTCCTAGATGTTATATGTAGCCTTTTTGTAGTCTTTAAAAATGTTTTAAATTTGCTCTTCCTGGTCTTTAGTTGTTAAAATATTTCTCATAGCTATTTTGATTATTAAAATGCCCTATTATAGTAGAATCATGCTGTAATTCTTTTAGGTCTCAAATGTCTGTTACATTTTATTCTTTATGTTTTCGTTTGTTTTTTAAATCTTGGGGAAGTGCTTTCTGATTCTGGCTTTGGGTGGGTTAGTTTTTCGTATGTTCTTTTAAGTTTGGAGTGAACTCATCTTCATCAGAATTTATCTGTGGTAATTCTGTGAGGTTGAGGGCAGGGCCCCCAGAGTTTCTGTTTTTGTTTTTGCCTGGCATTCCTAAATTATTACAGCCTCGGTACTGCTTCTTTCTCTACTCCTAACCCTTCCTGTTCAGAAAAAGTTTTCTTAAATTTCATTTTGTTTAGAAGTAATTAGGAATTCACAGGAGATGGAACATAAATGTACAGGGAGACTTTTTTTAATCCTTCTTCCAACTTCCCCAACGTTAACATCTTACCTATAGCATAGTATCAAAACCAAACAATCCACATTGGTACAATCCATAGAGTTTATTCAGATTTCACCTATATGTGCCTGCCTATATGTAGCTTTATGCCGTTTTGTCATATGTTTAGCCCATTTCCATAGTCAAGATACTCATCTGTAATGCCCAAAGATTCTCTTGTATTACCCCTTTATAGCCACAACCCTTCCCTGATCCCCGGCCCCGACCCCTAGCAACCGCTTATGTGCCATTGATCCTGTACTTGTTTCATAAATGGAATAACGCTTTAAGTGTTCTGTGAGACCAGCTTTTTCACTCAGCGTAACTTATTTGGGGCTCATCCAAGTTGTTGCACATATCAACCATTTATTTTTATTGCTGAGTAGTATTCCACGGCATACACGTACTAGTTTATCTGTCCACCCATTGAAAGACAGTAGTGTACTCTGCAGTTTTTGGCTATTATGATCAAAGCCACTGTGAACATTTGTTTCCCACATCTGTTAATGAAAGTTTTCGCATACAGTTTGGTGTTCTGTGTTAGAATGTTTTCGCCGTACGCTGTATTTAAGCAATAATTTATACCCATTTTTTTCTTTCATTTTATTTCTGTGAATTAGATATGAAGAAAGTTTTTATTTTTTTGGTTTTTTTGGGGGGGCAGGTTAATTTTAGTGAGTTGTTATTTTATGATTTTATTGTATGATTTTTGTAGAGATAGGGAAAACTGGGACTTGGTCTACTCAAGTCAGTCATTGGACACCTTGGGTGTTCTGAACCGTTGCTTGGTACTCTTTTCAAGACTGATTATCACACTTTGGAATTTTAAATATATATATTACCAGTCTTTAGGAGGAAAGATTGGGACTGATGAAATTTGTTGAATAAAGTGTATGTGCTAAACATTTGTGTGGATATCCTTTGTTTAGGAAGTCGAGGCTCAAGAGGTTCTCAAATTGATAGTCACAGTAGTAATAGCAACTATCATGACAGCTGGGAAACTCGAAGTAGCTATCCTGAAAGAGACAGATATCCCGAAAGAGACAACAGAGATCAAGCAAGGGATTCTTCTTTTGAGAGAAGACATGGAGAGCGAGACCGTCGTGACAACAGAGAAAGAGGTTTGTCAGACAATTTTATTAAATAGTGAACAACATCAGTTGGGAGAATTTTTACTTTTTAATGTAAAATATATTTTAAGACTTTTGCTTGATAACATACTTGAAACTATTATATATATTTATATAGTCTTTGTTCACAAGGTTAGGAGGGATTATGTTGATAGTCAGTAACCAGTACCTACTGGCAACAAAGTGCAAAAACCGGGTACCCTGCTGCGTGTCTCTCATCTTAACCAAGTAGCTTATAAACCTTTAAAGAATGTAGATGGTTCCATTCCAGGCATTTTGACTCAGGAAATACCTAAACCTTCTCATCTGAGTATCCTGGCTACTCACTCATTTACTGTGATCAATAGAATTTTATAAAGACTGCCAGAAAGAAGCAATTAAAAAATGATAAGACTGCGGATAGTTTAAAGAAATATTTTATTTGTGTCCTATCCTGAGAATATATGATATTTGCTTTAGAAAATTTTACATTCTAATATGTCTTAAGCTACAACTTTTTCTGTTCATCTGTCAGATCTCTTAAATCAATTTTGAAGCAAGATTACTAGGAAGCACTTAAAAAGGGTTGTAAATACTTTGTTTGGCAAGCTTTTATTTCAGTACTTATTAGGGCCTTTAAACATTTAAAATCTTATGGAGGTGTTACTAACCTTGGCTGAAGTAAGGTTCACTATAATGCTGAGATTAATACAGCTTGAAACTTGATGGCCCAGAGAATTGAATACTGATACTTTACTATGGGCTGAATCAAAGCGGTAATATTATATCTCGGTTGGTTAGTGTGAAGAATAAACTTTCTAAGACATCATCTACTTTTGGGAACATAGATAGGATTAGAAGCAGCAGAATTGATTGGTTTGAGTTCGTTAAGGTAAGCCTAATGCATTTTGGTTAAAAGATGTGTAGAATTTCCTTAGTTACAGATAGGGCTGGAGTTTCTATGTCTGTGTTGATAGCTGAAATTATTTCTTCCCTAGCACTTTTAGAACTTACACATCCTGGTGATTCTTTTCTAAAATCTCTTTTTTCCTTTTTTTCTATTTTCATATCCTTGCTCAGATTTTTCTCATCTCATGCCTGAATTCAATAGTAACAGTTGGTTTCATTCTTATGGTTACATGTGCTGATCTTTTGCTCGGTGCCAAGAACTTTGAGAGATGCTTTACATACATTCTGACTTAATCTTTACAATACCCTTGTAAGTGTAGGTATGATAAAATAATTCATGTTTTCACAATTGTGTGGGTTAGATCTAAGAGAAGTAAGATTACGATATTACAGATAAGTGGGTTCCAGACCTGGAATTCAAACTCAGGTCTTCGGAGTAAAAGTTCCGTTCTCTATTTTAATTTTACTGTAACTACTTCAATAATTATCAGATGTATGATTGAAATAAAAATATATATTTTGGAGGTTGATGATTATTTTTTTCCTTTGAGACTGAGTTTTGCTCTTGTTGCCCAGGCTGAAATGCAGTTGGACGATCTCAGCTCACTGCAACCTCCACCCCATGGATTCAAGTGGTTGTCATGCCTTAGCCTCCCGAGTAGCTGGGATTACAGGCACACACCACCATGCCTGGCTAATTTTTTGTATTTTTGGTAGAAATAGGGTTTTACCATGTTAGCCAGGCTGGTCTTGAGCTCCTGACCTCAGGTGATCTGCCTGCCTCGGTCTCCCTAAGTGCTGAGATTACAGGCGTGAACCACCATGCCTGGCTAGTATTTTACAAATATTTGTTGAATACCCATGCTAGGCACTTTGCTAGGCACTTGAGGTACAGTAATTCTTGTGCTTGTAGAATTTAATGGGAGAGGGAAGAACTCCCCACCCAAAAAATAAAAATGTGGTAAATGCTACTACTGTATAAAGTTCTATGAGAAGGCAAAAGAGCAAACACAGTTCTGAGCAGTTCCAAGAAAGCTGCCTAAAGAAGTAACATCTGAATTAGGGCCTGAAGTGTAAAAGGGAACTGCAGAAGGAGCACTTTACAGGGAGAGGGTGCAGCGTGTACAGACACCAGGACTGAAAGAAACATGTACTTTGAAGGTGTAAGGAATTATGTTATGAGATTAAAGTCAGAGTATGCTATAATTGGCAAGGTAGAAAAGAAGCCAGGGAAAAGGGCTGATGAAGGACGATAGGTCAGGTAGTAAATGACCTAAGTTTAGGCTGGTCAGGCTAAAAATTTGAATTTAATTGCCTTTCACTGCCTACAATTTTAAGCAGTTGGAAGAAATAATTTTCATCAAAACAAAATGTTGAGAAAGAGAAAAACAAGGATACCAGTTAGTTAGACTATTGATGACATAAGCTTCTAAGCAGACCTGATTCAGGTCTGAGTTAATAACTGTAGATATGGGGACAGAAAAAGAATGAATATTTTAGAAGTGAAGCGTGGATATGATGAGACTTAGACAACTCAGAGATTATCAGCTTTAATGAATCGGTATGTCGTTTATTACAATAAGGAAATAGGAAGCAGAAGCACATCTTTGAATAACGCATTTTGGGGGAAGATAGTTTAGACATATTAAAGTATTGTTCTTATATTCTTTCCGTTTTCCTTCGAAGAAAGTAGCATTGTTATTTAGGTTGAGAAAATAAAATATATCTCCCATAAAACCATGTCTGAATAGTCTATTTGTTGATATTGCTGTAATTAGAAATTTGAAGTATGATTTACTGTAAGTTACGGTATTGAATTTGTTTCAGATTGTCTTGGAATGTTATGATGTTGGTATGACTTCTCCAAACTAGGAATTCTGGCAATATAAAAGATGGTTAGATAGCGTTCTAGGAATCCAAAGTATGGTACAGAAGAACCACTTCAAATTTAAGCTAGTTTCAACAAAAGTAAAAGGCTTTAAGAAAACTGATTTCTAATGCATCTACCATCTCTGTGATGTTGGCAGGTCAACTCTGGACCATAATTTCTGTTTTTAAAAAGAAAGGAGGAGAAGCAACTGTGTAGGATTTCACTTTGATCTAGCTTTAAAATGCTATGATCGTTTGTATCTGGGTCTATAACCTCTAAAATAGTAAACATAGATAATTCTTGTCTTTTTAATCAGTCATTAGGAAGGGAAACCCAAAATACTATATTGAACCCTTCCTGGAAACATCCTAAAATTATTCTACTTAATGAGTTGATGTTAGATGTTCCACTTACCAACCCGTTGGCCATATTGTAGTATGATCTTTACTGAACAACCAGTAGATATAGTATGTAAATGGAAACATCACAATAGCCTAGATCAGACCACAGTAGTTGTTTTCAAAAACAGCTGTCTCTTTGAAACAGTTCATTCCATCCTCTTGTACATTTTTTTATCCCAGACTAATTTTCTTCTCAATTGGGTATTTGGGCAGCATGCATTCATTTACTCTGTGTTTATGTGATTTGTGTGTACATGGAAAAAATTTATATAAAATGTGATGAGGTTATGAGTTAACATTTTAAGAATACGGCTCTTCATCTGAGTAATCAGTTATATAATTAAGCAAATCTTTTAATTTATTAGTAATTGGTTATTAATTACAAATATACATCACTAATAAGAAACACCTTTTACATTTATTTCAAGATTGCTAGACATCAGTACTCTGAATATTATATAGTTCATGATAAGAGATTGATATCACAGCAACAAATTCTGACAGATGTTTTGTTCTACTATATTTTCCTCACATGATACCTGCACTTTGATGTGTATATATTTTGGCCTGAAATTAGAGGTGTGACTTACGAGGGAAATTTTTTTTTTCCTTCAGCTCCTATGTTCTACACCTCCTGCTGCCCCTATCCTTTGCCACCAGTGTTCTCAGGTCCTGCTGGGGGGACAGAGAAGATCAGAGGTGAAGGGTAGAGATGGCAGAAAGTGGGGTTGGAGCAGTGGGCTGGAGGTAGGGTAGGGGGCATGCAGAGAAAGATCAAAGATGGATCAGCGGGAGGGGGGAGGGGGTTGATGGGGAGCAGGAAACATGGTAGTTAGAGGGCAAATAAAAATTATCTTTAAAAAATTTAAGGTCTAGGGGTGATTATTACTTGGATGATTAAGTTAAAATTAAATAAGCTACTCGGTTTGTGATTTGTTGCCAGTGTGACCCTATACACAGATAAAATTTTAAGATTTACCATGCTGTCGTACCAATTAATCACTGACAAAACTTGATTTTCATTGTAGATCAAAGACCAAGCTCACCAATTCGACATCAGGGAAGGAATGACGAGCTTGAGCGTGATGAAAGAAGAGAGGAACGAAGAGTAGACAGAGTGGATGACAGAAGAGATGAAAGGGCTAGAGAGAGAGATCGGGAACGAGAACGAGACAGGGAGCGGGAGAGAGAGAGGGAACGTGAACGGGATCGGGAAAGAGAAAAAGAGAGAGAACTAGAAAGAGAGCGTGCTAGGGAACGGGAGAGAGAAAGAGAAAAAGAGAGAGATCGTGAAAGGGATAGAGACCGAGACCATGATCGAGAGCGGGAAAGAGAGAGGGAGCGAGACAGAGAAAAAGAACGGGAGCGAGAAAGAGAAGAAAGAGAGAGGGAGAGAGAGCGAGAACGGGAGAGAGAGCGAGAGCGAGAACGGGAACGAGAAAGAGCTAGAGAAAGGGATAAAGAACGAGAGCGCCAGAGGGACTGGGAAGACAAAGACAAAGGACGAGATGACCGCAGGGAAAAGCGAGAGGAGATCCGAGAAGACAGGAATCCAAGAGACGGACACGATGAAAGGAAATCAAAGTAAGGAGAATTGCCGATCAGCGTGGACAACGCGCCGCATGTCAGGACAGAGTTCACAGTTCTAGTTAACGCTTTTCAGTGCACTCTTAAATTCCTGGGGCTTTTTCTCTGTATTTTTTCCTGTTTTTCAGATGTATTATATATATTCAGTGTTTAAAGTTTTTTTAACCAGCACTTTGGGAAGCCGAGGTGGGCAGACCCCTTGAGACCAGGAGTTTGAGACCAGCCTGGGCAACATGGCAAAACTGTCTCTACAAAAATTAGCCAGAGATGGTTGGCACGTGCCTGTAGTCCCAGCTACTTGGGAGGCTGAGATGGGAGGATTGTTTGAACCTAGGAGGCAGAGGTCTCATTGCACTCCAGCCTGGGTGGAAACCTTGTCTCAAAAAACAAATAAAAAAACCCACAAGTTTTTTCAGTTGTTAGAAAAAATAGTTTTAAAATGAAGACAGGAATCAGTGAACTTGTACCCTATCACATCTCCTAGACTAGTCACCAGGGGATATCACCCGTGCCATTCTGATGATCCTTCTTGAGTTTTATGTGCTTGCAGGTATGGAGTCACTGCCCCCAGGCCACAGGAAGCCTTCACAGTGTCTTAGAACTGAGGGAATCCTTGTAATCACTGCATGGTTCGAAGATGAGAGAAAAGGAAGTGTTTTCTCTTGTGCTGTGGAGTACATCTTTGGGGTCAAAAGATGGTGTTCTTGGCATCTCATATATCTGAGGGCATTTTCCCCACCCCACCATCTTTTAACCAAAAAAGAACTTACTTGCTCAAATATCTAGGAAGTTGGAGGTTAGCTTTTGCTTGTTCCAGTGGAGCTATATCCAGATTCTCAAACAAAGCATTAGCAATTTCCGTCTCTCCGGTTTCCCTGTGTTACTAGTTTCAGTCTCAGAAAGGTTTTCTCAAAATGATGGCCAAGATGGCCCCAGAGTTGTCCCTGTCAGCTTAGCAGTCTTCTCTGCGTTGGGGCTCTCATTAGTTGCGGGGGAGACAGTAACTGACTGAGCTTATCACAGTGTTCATGGAAATTCGAAACTCTGATTGGTCAGTTTTCAAGTTCTGTGGGCACAAAACCAAACTTTAATTAGAGTTAACTGCTTTTTTGTCTCTAAGTGGGATAAACACTGTTGCTTACCTTGCAAAAACAAACAGAAAATAGTTTATGTATCTTCAGTTTTCTTTAATCTGCAGCCATTGTGTTCTATAGTACACCCCATGGCTTACTTTCCTCTTCCCTCTCCTTAACATTTTGAAAAATCTTACCTTAACATAAACTTTAGAGATATCTTTTTTAACACATGGAGGCACACATACATATTATTCCCATCCTCCCTACCCCCCACTTTTCTGACCTCTTTATTTTCCAAGATTAAAATTCTGAATTCTTTGTCTTTTATTCAGTCCTATGCTTTCATTAATACAGATTGAGCATTCCAAATCCAAAAATTCAAAATTTGAAATGCTCCAAAATCTACAGCTTTTGAACACTGACATGACACTCAAAGGAGATGCTCATTGGAACATTTCAGGTTTTCAGATAAAGGACGCACAACCAGTAAGTACGATGCAAATATCCAAAACCCAAAACTCAGGGCATTTCAGATAAGGGGTACTCAACCTGTATTTTTTTCATGCTTCTGATCTCTGCTTATAATAGCAAAAGGTTTTCTGATTTTCCATGGTTAGACAATCTTAAGAGTTGGCAATGACCCCACAAATTTAGGAGTTGAATAACTCTGTAACAGAAACTAGTTATGTGAGATTAATATTTTAATCTTTCATTAACTGTATTGTCATCTCAGTAGTTCAGTTTCTCCAGCACTTTTTTTTAACTGCTGTTATGTAGGTTTACTGAATAGCCATCTTTATTGTACTCTAATTGTGTTTATTTTATTTCCTTGAAAGAAGTTTTATTTTTTTTATGTTTTAAATTTTCCCTTTATTCTAGTGTATCAGTTATCTCTTGCTGTATAACATACCACCACATAAATTAGTAACTTAAAACAACCATTTATTTGCTTATGGTTCTGTGGATTAGTGATTTTGCCTGGGCTCAACGGAGTGGTTTTTCTGCTGGTCTCAATTGGAGTATCTCGTGTATCAACATTCCATCTGACAGTGCAGCTGGGCCTGGAGGCCCAGGATTGTCTCACCTGTGTGTCTGCCAGTTAGGGCATCTTGTTTCTGCTCCGCTTGACCTCCTGGCCTTCAGTGGTCTAAACTTGGCTTTGCATGTAATGGTAGAAACATAACAAGAGGACAGAAGCTGAAGCGGCAAGGCCTCCTGAACCCTCTTCACATTTGCACAGTGGCACTTTCACCACATTTTCTTGTCGTAGCAAGTCATTAGGCCACTTCGATAGGAAAAATGGGGAAATAGTCCAGCTATTGATGGGAGAGGGGCTTTGGATAAAGCAGTACACAAGCTTGGGCCTGTGAGTTGTCATATTATACCTGGGGCTGTCTCCACATGGTTACTCATCTATATAAAGGAGCTGTCTAGGATATACATGTACTGTAGTATGTTTTTACTTTCTTTTTATTTCAATAGCTTTTGGGGTACGAGAAGTTTTCGGTTACCTGGGTGAATTCTGAGATTTTCGTGTACATTATACCCAACTTGTGGTTTCTTATCCCTCACTCAGCTCCCACCCTGCCACTTCCGAGTCTCCAGAGCCCGTTGTATCTTTCTGTACGCCTTTGTACCCAACATGTGGTTTCTTATCCCTCACTCAGCTCCCACCCTGCCACTTCCGAGTCTCCAGAGCCCGTTGTATCTCTCTGTACGCCTTTGCTTACTCGTAGCTTAGCTCTCACAAGTGAGGACAAGTTGCTGCAAAAGACATTCTTTTGTTCCTTTTGTTGGCTGAGTAGTATTCTATGGTTCCATGGTGTATATATACTACATTTTCTTTATCCACTCTTTGGCCAGTGGGCACTTAGGTTGGTTCTATGTCTTTGCAGTGTGAATTTTGCATATAACAACTTCTTTATAAAGTCATAATGACTCTTTTTCGTATAATGACTTCTTTTCCTTTGGGTAGATAACCAGTAGTGGGACTGCTGGATCCAACCTCTCCTTTTAGTTCTTTAAGGCCTCTCCATACTGCTTTTCATAGAGGTTGTACTAATTTATATTCCCCCCAGCAGTGTATAAGCATTCCCTTTCACCATGTCTACGCTAGCATCTACTGTGTTTTGACTTTGTATGGCCATTTTTGTAGGAGTAAGGTGACATCTCATTATGGTTTTAATTTGAATTTCCCTGATGACTAGTAGTTTTGAGCATTTTTTCATATGTTTGTTGGCTGTTTGTTTGTCTTCTTTTGAGAAAGGTCTACTCACGTCCTTTGTCCACTTTTTTATGGGATTATTTATGTTTTTCCTGCTGATTTGTTTGAGTTTCTTATAGATTCTGAATACTAGTCCTTCGTTGGATGTATAGTTTCCAAGTATTTTCTCCCTTTCTATGGGTTGTCTTTATTTATTTTGCTGTGCGGAAGTTTTTTAGTTTAATTAGGTTCCATTTATTTATTTTTGGTTTTGTTGCATTTGCTTTTAGAGTCTTGGTCATGAAGTCTTTGCCTAGACTAGTGTCCAAAAGAATTTCCCAGTGTTAACTTCTAGAATTTTAATGGTTTCGGGTCTTAGATATAAGTCTTTGATCCATCTTGAGTTGATTTTTGTTTGAGGTGAGAGACAGGGATCCATTTTCATTATTTTACATGTGACTTGCCAGCTTTCTCACCACCATTTAGTAAATAGGGTGTCCTTCTCCCAGTTATGTTTTGTATGCTTTGTTGAAGATCATTTGGCTTTATTTCTGTTTCATTGGTCTGTGTATACAATATGTTTTTTAACTTTTGACCATAGTATTTGTAAATAAACAATGTTAATTTAAAAAACAGGTGGTCAGATTTTAATGAAAAACAGCTCATTTAAAGCTCAACTAAGGAACAACAAATATAATCAGCATGAATTATTTTATGAATTTGTTAATAAGTAAGTGATTTCTAAGAAGGGGAAAGGAACTGATTTTACGGTGTATCCACAACCTATCTGGCACTGGGTTTATGACATAACTAATTTGTTCCTCACTGCAGTTTTATGAGATGGACCCCATTTCTCACCCATTTTCAGATGAGAAACTGAGGTTCAGCGACTTCAAGGAACTTACTTAAGGCTGCGTGATAACTAATGTAGTTAGAAGTTGAACTCACGTCTTTTTACCTTACAGCCAATGTTAGATTTCCTCATTCAGCCCTGCAGCATAAGGCATTTTTATAGCCTAAGAATGCAAAATTGCGAATGTTTACATTACAGGGTACATTGATATATTGATTTCTGTGCTACATGTTACCCCCTTGCAGTATTTAAATCTGGCAGTTTTCACTTGAGTGGTTCTACATATATAATGAAGAAAGAAGAAATGTTGTTGTTGTGTATTTTAAGTTCACAATTCTTAGCAAATGAAGTAAATAACTTTTATTAAAGACATTGAGAAGCCTTTGTATGCTACACCTCTGACAATATTGCTTTTCTACAGTTATGTATTCCAGTTATAGTAAAGAGATACTAGTAAAAATAGAGAAATCTGTTTTTGGCCTCTAGAGTTTTATAAATTGTGTTTGCTTGCCCATTCAGGAAGCGCTATAGAAATGAAGGGAGTCCCAGCCCTAGACAGTCCCCAAAACGCCGCCGTGAACACTCTCCGGACAGCGATGCCTACAACAGCGGAGATGATAAAAGTAAGCAGATCCTGTTTCCTGTTTTTCTCTATTCACGTTCATTTGGGACCAGGAAACCACCCTTTCAAACTCCTAGGAACTGATGAATTGAGACTTTTAAAAGGTTGTCTGGCTTTGCTGCCTCTAAATGTCTCCTTTTGTGACTAAAGTATGTGTTAGAGTACTGTAATTTTATTTATAGTAAAGCCATATTTTTATTTTTACCAAAATTATTGTCATTCTAAAAGTTTTAAAATGATCTCAATCTCTTGATCTCATGATCCACCCACCTCGGCCTCCCAAAGTGCTGGGATGACAGGCGTGAGGAGAGACTGCCTTATTATTTATATGTGCCATGCGGTGTTTATTAACCTGGCGAGAGTGTGATCGCTTTTATCTTTTATATAGATGACAAACATAGACTCTTGAGTCAAGTTGTACGGCCTCAAGAATCTCGTTCTCTTAGTCCCTCGCACCTCACAGAAGACAGACAGGGTAGATGGAAAGAGGAGGATCGTAAACCAGAAAGGAAAGAGAGTTCAAGGCGCTATGAAGAACAGGAAGTCAAGGAAAAAGTTTCTTCCATAGATAAACAGAGAGAACAGGCAGAAATCCTGGAAAACTCAAGAATGCGTGCACAGGACATTATAGGACATCACCAGTCTGAAGATCGAGAGACATCTGATCGAGCTCATGATGAAAACAAGAAGAAAGCAAAAATTCAAAAGAAACCGATTAAGAAAAAGAAAGAGGATGATATTGGAATAGAGAGGGGTAACATAGAGACAACATCTGAAGAGGGTCACGTATTTTCACCCAAAAAAGGACAGAAAAAGAAAAGCATTGAAAAAAAACGTAAAAAATCCAAAGGTGATTCTGATATTTCTGATGAAGAAGCAGCCCAGCAAAGTAAGAAGAAAAGAGGCCCACGGACTCCCCCTATAACAACTAAAGAGGAATTGGTTGAAATTTGCAATGGTAAGAATGGTATTCTAGAGGACCCTCAGAAAAAAGAAGATACAGCATTCAGTGACTGGTCTGATGAGGATGTGCCTGACCGTACAGAGGTGACAGAAGAGCATGCTGCCACCGCAGCTACTCCTGGTAGTACCCCTTCTCCTCTGTCTTCTCTTCTTCCTCCTCCACCACCTGTGGCTACCGCCACTACTGCAACTGCGCCTGCAACTCTTGCCACGACTGCTGCTGCCGCCACCTCCTTCAGTACCTCTGCCATCACCATTTCCACCTCTGCCATCCCCCCCAATACCACCAATAATACTTTTGCCAATGAAGACTCACACAGAAAATGCCACAGAACACGAGTGGAAAAAGTAGAGGCACCTCACGTGACTATAGAAGATGCATCGCATCGCAAGCCTGTGGATCAAAAGCGGAGCAGCAGCCTCGGGAGCAATCGGAGTAATCGTAGTCATACGTCTGGTCGTCTGCGCTCCCCATCCAATGATTCTGCCCATCGAAGTGGAGATGATCAAAGTGGTCGAAAGAGAGTCCTGCACAGTGGCTCAAGAGATAGAGAAAAAACCAAAAGCCTGGAAATCACAGGAGAGAGAAAATCTAGGATTGATCAGTTAAAGCGTGGAGAACCCAGTCGAAGTACTTCTTCAGGTAATAAAACTGAATTATGATCTAGTCATTATTTCCTGTGTTGGTATATTTTTACATACTTTAATTCTAAAGTAATGCCAAACTGGCTACTTTGCATGCTGCCTTAAATTTTATGGAACTTTTAAAAGCAAAGCTTAGCTGCCCCATCAAAATGTTACCTGTTAATCGCTTTAAACCAACATTATAATAGAAATAAATACAATAGTGTTAATCAATTTGATATCAGGATTTTAGTAGTATGTCTTGCGGGAAGGGTTCATATGTTCAAGTCCCTTATTGATGCCTATGATTTTAATCTTCCTGCTATTCATGCAGTCAAGGCTGCCTGTTTTGACCACAGGAAATAAGGGGAGTAGGAAAGCTCAAACAATGTAAATAAATATATATATATGTAGAATATAGAAATGTATAGAACATATAGAGCCAATATGGAATATAGAAAATTACATAGACTATGGAAAAAAGGTAAATTATGTTTTAAAGGACCCTAAAATGAAGTGTTTTGTTTCTGTTTTATTGTGTGCTAATAGCTCTTTGTATGTGGTATACTTATTTTAGATCGCCAGGATTCAAGAAGTCATAGTTCAAGAAGAAGTTCTCCAGAGTCAGATCGACAGGTCCATTCAAGATCTGGGTCATTTGATAGCAGAGACAGGCTTCAAGAACGAGATCGATATGAACATGATAGAGAGCGGGAGAGAGAGAGGAGAGATACGAGGCAGAGAGAATGGGACCGAGATGCCGATAAAGATTGGCCACGCAACAGGGATCGAGATAGATTGCGAGAACGAGAACGAGAGAGAGAACGAGACAAAAGGAGAGACTTGGATAGGGAGAGAGAGAGACTGGTTTCTGATTCCGTTGAAAGAGACAGGGACAGAGACAGAGACAGAACTTTCGAGAGTTCTCAGATAGAGTCTGTGAAACGCTGTGAAGCAAAACTGGAAGCTGAACATGAAAGGGATCTAGAAGGCACTTGCCGAGACTCTGTAGCCTTGGATAAAGAGAGAATGGATAAAGATCTGGGATCTGTGCAGGGATTTGAAGATATAAATAAATCCGAGAGAACTGAGAGCCTGGAAGGTGAGTGGTACCTTTTTTGTCTGTGATACTGCTTTATTTCTTTTCAGATTTCTTGGGAAACAACAATTTTCTTTTGAAAGGTCATCCACTAATAGGCAAATTGATTCCTTGCTCCATTCCCTTATAGAGGAACTAGATTTCATAAGGAAAAGGCCTGTATGATACATATATATATATACACACACACATATATATATATATATATACACACACACATACATATATATACATATATACATACATACATACACACACACATATATATATACACACACACATACATAGTATGTATGTATATCTGTATATCTAATGTGGTTCCATCAGTAGTACCATTAAGGTAGATTTGGTTCACATAAACCTAAATGAAATAAAAGATTGTTTCGCTGCAATTCATATAGATGTTGAAGAATAACCATCGCATCCTTTTCTTAGATGTTAAAAAAATAAGAACACAAAAATTGAAATGACTTCTTAGTTCAGAGAGGAATTTCAAATAATTATTAGTGAATCTCTTGTTTTTTTAGAGCAATTGAGAACAAATATATGAAACAATAGCACTACCTGAAACTGTATTTAATGTCAGATTGGCTGTAGAATCCCACTGGTACTCTCCAGTCCTAGAATAGGAATGCTGAGTCCACATCAATCCTTTGGCCCACTCAAAGCCAGCCTCAGCTATGTGAAACCTCACTCTCCATACGCCTGCTCTTTACCCTTCAGCCCCCATTTACTAGAGCCTACTCTTTACCCTTCAGCCCCCATTTACTAGACAGGTTGACTCACACCTTTCCATTCTCTGCCCTTGTTTGTACCCACTCATTCCATTGCCTGATAGACCTTTTTCTTTTGTCTCTTCTTTCTTCTTCAGACTTCAAGTCCCAATTTATACGTTATTTTCTTGATGAAGCCTTCTCTGCTCAAGGCACTTAACTGTTTCAAATTCCTCTCTTCACATTACATTTTCATCTCAATTTTGAGTATAAATAGCATCAAATCATGAAGCATGGTTCTGATGGAGGTACAACCTTGGGATATAATTGAATTAATCATTATAATAGCTCTCTTGTGATTGGAGTCAATGTCCCTCATCTCTAAAATATATCATTTGGTAGTTATGATCACAGATAATATAGCATAGAAATTTGTAAGTGAATCTCTTGCTATGTGATACAAAGTTTTTATTCACTTTAGGAAAATGAGTTGGATCACCTTGAAAAATGAAAAATCCTATTATGTGTATTTATGTTGAGATGTATGTTTATATGGCAAAGTTACTAAAATTGGTTACCTTAGAAGTAAATTAGTGAGGATATGGGAAGATTATTATAGAATTTAATAACATGGAAAATCACCAGAATGACTAGAAACATCTCATAACTTCTTATATTTGTTGCAAATTCATACTCATAAAGCACACTGTTACATTTTGAAGCCTAGTGTTGTAGATTCAGTGACATGTATGGTTAGCTAGTGATAAGTATATTCTGTAATTTTAGGATTAAGTTCACAACTAACTCACCAGAAGACACAGTTTCTCCTCTGAAAGAAGATCATTAAGATAGGGAGGGGGAATTGAAATGTAGAGAGAATTAATGACACTTTTTGTATTTTTACCTCACTGCTGTAAAATTTATATAATGAGCTAAATAATATGAACTAAGATTTAAGCTACAAATAAATTTTTTAAATAAGTTTGCAAGTTTTTCAAATTATTTTATTTAGATAAATTATTGCAACCTTTTAAAGTTAGTAGATTTGTTAAGTTTTTAGTTTTAAATTATCGAAAATTAACACACAATCAACATTAGTTTGTTAGTAGTAACTTTTGTCATATTTTAATTGAGATCTTATAACCTCCTCTGATCATTGCTTTCCAGATTGTATTCTTGCTGTTAAAGTTTAATTTAACTAATTAAATTTTATTTTTGTTTTCTTTTGATATTATCAAGTATTTGAATAATTAAGAGATGTAGTTTTCTGATGAAAAAGATGTTTTTCACATCATTATAATGTGTGTAGCCTCTACCTTTTGGTTTGACTTAGTCATTGCCTCCCTTTCATGATGTCTTTGGTCTGAAATTAATTTGTCTATTTAGCAGGAGATGATGAGTCCAAGTTAGATGATGCACATTCATTAGGCTCTGGTGCTGGAGAAGGATACGAGCCAATCAGTGATGATGAGCTAGATGAAATTCTGGCAGGTGATGCAGAAAAGAGGGAGGACCAACAGGATGAGGAGAAGATGCCAGGTAACTATTTGCAGAGGTGGTTAAACATGAAGATTATCTGGTATATGGTATTAAAGTATTTTTACCTTCCACACTGTAAAAATTGACCTAAGTCACTTAGAATTTTTCCCCTTTATTTCCCTAAAATTAGTTAAGGTTGAAAGGCCAATAAAATGAAAATTATAGCCTATATGCCTGTTCATTTTTAAGTAGGCATTGCCTATGAATTAGAAAGGGACTCATTTAAATTAGCAAAATTCTAAGATTTATTTTCTGCAGTTTAAAAATCATATGACTTCGAATTTACTGATTCCAAGTAGATTGTATAGCAGTGTTCTTTCTACATGGTAGATACATGGTACAGAGCTTCACAACTGTGGTGACACGAGCCAGATTTTTAAACAACCTGTCAAAAATTTACAGTAGTTGACATTATATTGGAACACTATATACCTTTTTCTATCAATGTTCTAAATTTGGTAATTATTTTGACTTACAGTACTTTGCACATTGTCAGAACTCACTCTAGTGATTATACCATGAAGCAACGCCCCTTAACATTCCTCTGGAATCATTCCAATTAGTGTCTGATTGTTACTAACATTTTTTTTAAATCACAGTAAGGATGTTTTCTTTGATTATATAAAATACTAAATTTGTATTTTTATTTACTCTTACATTTTACATTTTTTTCTACTGTTATAGAAGGTATGTATAATTGTTATCTTCGTTATTTTCTGATAGTAGGTATTTCTAAGTAGAACATTATTTCTCCAACTCTTCCTTCTCAGTGGATGGATTGTTTGCTCTCAATGTTGATAATAGTCACTCTGTGACTCTTAAAGAGACTTCATAACAAAATCATTGCTTTTAAAAATTAAAATGTCTGTGTGCACACACTGCAAACACGTGTACTCCTAGATTTAACCCTTAAAAGGGTTCTGGTGCCAAATATCAAAAGATCACACCTGATCTGAGTGAAATCCATAGAGTTTTTTCACTGGGGATCTCCTACAGAATTAAAATGAGTTGTTTGTATGGATGGGATAGGTTATCTGTTTTCTTTTGGTGGGAAGGTTTTTTTATTTGTCGGAGTCCTTAGATTCTGAATATTATATAGGAAGGCTTTGCTTTTATTTTAAGAATAGGACATTTTTGGTTTAAAACACTTTACATGTAATGTTTTCTATGTTTTGCTTGATTTATATAAATTTCTGTGTAGATAATAAGACTGCTATTTCTTGGTGTAAAAAAAATCTTGCTTTTTAACTCTTTACAGATCCCTTGGATGTGATAGACGTGGACTGGTCTGGTCTTATGCCAAAGCATCCAAAAGAACCACGGGAGCCTGGGGCTGCACTCTTAAAATTCACACCTGGAGCTGTTATGCTAAGAGTTGGGATTTCTAAAAAGTTAGCAGGTTCTGAACTCTTTGCCAAAGTCAAAGAAACATGCCAGAGACTTTTAGAAAAACCCAAAGGTAGTTTCGTTTTACTTTAACTATATAATGTCTGTTAAACATTTAAGATGCCATCTGAAGAGGATTCTGATCTGTTCTTATGTAGCACTTAACACTGTATTGAAAGTATCTTTTGAGGAATCATTTATAGTCATCAAAGTTTCTCTTAAAATTTATTTTGAGTGGCTGGGCGTGGTGGCTCATGCCTGTAATCCTAACACTTTGGGAAGCCAAGGCAGACGGATTGCCTGAGCTCCGGAGTTTGAGACCAGCCTGGGCAACATTGTGAAACTCTGCCTCAACTGAAATACAAAATAAATTAGCCAGGCATGACAGTGTGCACCTGTAGTCCTAGCTACTCGGGAGGCTGAGGCAGGAGAATCACTTGAACCCAGGAGGTGGAGGGAGGTTGCAGTGAGCTGAGATCATGCTACTGCACTCCAGCCTGGGCCACAGAGCAAGATTCCATCTCTTAAAAAAAAAAAAAAAGAAAAGAAAAAGTATTTTGAGAAGAAAAGTTATCCACAGAAAAGTTGGAAAAAGAGGAAAGAGTACAATGAACTTTTTGTATTGAAATTACTTATTAACAGGCCAGGCGTGGTTTTGCATGCCTGTAGTTGCAGCTCCTCAGGGAGGTTGAGGCAGCAGGATTGCTCAAGCCCAGAAAATTAAGGCAGCAGTGAGCCATAATTGCACCACCATACTCCAACCTAGGTGACAAAGCAAGACCCTGTCTAAAAAAAAATTATTAACCAAGAAGTTCACATACCAGAGTGCTCAGTGGTTTACCCTTGGCTAAATGAAGCAGAGCCAGGAAAAACAGACTACATACTTTTCATGTCTAAAGAAACTGAGTGTCTTGGCAGCCCTTCCCCCTAGACCTCTACCCAAATGCAAGTGTATAGGTCGAATCTTTAACAAAGTGGTTAAGAGCTTGGCCTGTAAGACCAGATTATCTGAATTTCAGTAGGCACACCACTTACTAGCTATTACTTAATCTCTGTGTTCATGTCATCGTCGGTAAGTCAGGAATAATCATACCACCAGCTTCCTATGGTCATTAGGAACACATGACCACAGGCAAAACACTTAGAACAGTTCTTGGCATTTAGTAATACCCAAGAACTATTAACTGCTGCTACTTTGAAAAATATCACGTTGATTTTTGACCTTACTGCAACAATTTTCAGATATTCCAGATTATCTAGCGTATGGATTCTGGTGGTGGGGATTGTTTGGTTTTGGTTTTGGTTTTTACTGTTTCTTTCTCATCTAGTACCTTCCTTAGTTTATTTTGCAACTTACTAATACTTTATTAGTGGGGAGGGACAAGTAGATGGTAAAAAAAAGGAAAAAGAGGTAAAAGGTGAAAGCAACAACATTAATTAACAATTTTATGTTGTGTCCCTGGGCGTAAAAGTTGAGTTAGTATTAAATTTTTTACTAATATAAAATTGGAAAAATTGTTTTATGAGTTTTATGAATGTATGTCCTTCCTTTCACCTATTAGCATAAGCAGTAAGTTTTTAAATCTTAATAGGGCCCAATAAACCAAGAATATGCATGAACAAAATACATATAAATTATAATTGTGGAAGTGTATTAACCAGAAAAATGACCTGGAAATTGAGGCTGCAGTGAGCCGTGATTGTGCTGCCACACTCCAACCTAGGTGGCAGAGCAAGACCCTGTCTCAAAAAGAAAAAAAACTATCAACTAAGAAGTTCAAATATCAAAATTCTTGACTTTGTTCTTTCCCTGCTCTTTCTACCTTGTTTGGTTGGTTTTGTGGCCTTAAGCAAATAACTGCTGTGGGCCTCAATTTTATTTGTAAAGTAATGGAATGAAACCCCTAAAATCTTACCTGCTTCTAAAGCTATTTGTTTCTACGACTTTTGCTAGTGCCATTTCAAGTTAAATCTAATTAGATTTTGTTTGCTACGCATGTAATACAGTTTGGCCCTTACTGATTACTTAAACAATGAAAATATACACTGTGAAGGGTGGGGCGATGTTGCTTAGCAGTCAGACCTCTTCTGTTGTTTGCTGCGTGGTGGTTGTGGTAGAGAACTGCTGTATCATCTTGAATAAGGGCTTTGTCTTTTTAGTGCCATATTCAGGGTCTAATTATCTATCTATATTTTCTTCTATTGCCCAGAAAAGTACTCAACATACATAGTAGATATTCAGTAAATAGTTAATAAATATGAATACTGATTTTTCTATTCCATTTGGTCTATTTAAGTGTACCAACACAAAGGAAAACATAATCACACTTCATATATAATGTTTAAAAGAAACAACTAAAGCTTAAAACAGAAAACTTCAAGTGTACTGAAATTGAAATTGCATTTGTGTATGTTTTCTAATTGCACTATGGTTCTTTTTTTAAGTTTTTAATTATTGTGGGTACATAGTATGTATATATATTTTGGGGGTACATGAGATACTTTGATCTTTGATACAGGCATGCAGTGTGTTAATAATCATGTCATGGAAAATGGAGTATCTGTCCCCTCAAGCATTTATCTTTTGTGTTAGAATCCAATTACTCTTTTAGTTATTTTTAAATGCACAATTGTTATTGACAATAACAGTTTCTACAACAGGGTGGTATAGTCACCCTGTTGTATTGTCAAATACTACATGTTATTCCTTTTTTTTTTGGACCCATTAGCCATCCCCCAACTCCCCACCCTCACTATCCTTCCCGGACTCTACTAACCATCCTTCTGCTCTCTGCTGGTTAAGTTCTTTTGAGCTAAACTTTTCCAGTTATTTTGTTTCCTTTATTTTACTTCTCAAGGATGTATTTAGTCTATTTCTTGAGTAATTTTGTGCTGCTCAGTCCAAAACTATGAAGATACTGGGAATTTAGACATGTTATATACTCCCTGAGGAGATTTGCAAGTGTGTGTTTTGTAATTTATTGTTTTGAAAGCCAAAAATAGGATGCCAATAAACAGAAATTTGTGCTAATGAACACTTTTCAAGAAAGGGCATAGGCTTAGTGCATTTCTTTTATATCTGTGCCAGAATGGTAGTTTATGTTTTTGTTTTTGTTTTGCATGTGCATATATGACTATATCATTGGTTGGTACAAACATGGGTATATCTGAATCATCTGAAAAACTGCCGGTTTTTTTTCCCTTAAGGTATTCTAGTCCAACTATGGCGATTCTGGTTTTGTAAATCTGGTGGTGGAGCCCAGGGAATGTTTTTTAAAAAGCTCCTCCGCTGATTCCGATAAAGTAGTTCTGTTTGAGAACTAGTTTCGAGCTTTTCTGTGTATTTACACCTTTCTTACATTACTTACCTATTGACTAGGTATGGTACATAAAACTGATTTCTTGTTAATTATCTAATCTCAGTACTTACACTCTGCAACCCAGATAATTGAAATGAGCTGTGTAATGGAGCTCTATTTTGTTCTCAGTAAAATGTGTCTTTTATTTTCACCCGGGCGTTTACTGCTTTTCTTTGTGGGTTCTAAACGTAACCTGCTTGATCATGTTGTACGAATAGATGCAATATCTGCTGTCTTTTGCACACTTGGCTGACTCTTATTTATTTGGATTACTGACTGGTCCTGTTCTGTTATTTTTACTTTCTATTTTTAACACAACCTCTTTATATTTTATCGTATCTTTCCTTAATTCTTCTGGGTTTTTTTTTTCTATATTCAGTATTTTCTCCCCTACCTTGCATGTTGTGACTTAAACCTAAATGATTTTAATTGAATACATTGTCCCAGGTTTTTATGGTGACCAAATCTAGGACAAAGTTTGCAGGTTGCCTGACTAACACTTAATCACTTTCTTAACTAATTTTTTTAGAAGTCACAGACTTGAATATTATTAAAACATTTGAGTCTTGCTATAATAAAGTCTTGACATCTAGAACCCTAAGTAGTAGTTGATGGTAAGCAGTATATTGAATTAAACTTCAGTGATTCTTAACTTCAACACTTCTTTATAACATCCCTTTAAAATATTCTTAAAAAAAAATTCCCTGGGGTGGGGGTTAGTGATTCATGCCTGTAATCCTAGCACTTTAGGAGGCCAAGGCAGGCAGATCAGTTGAGATCAGGAGTTTGAGACCAGGCTGGCCAACATGGCAAAACCCCATCTCTACTAAAAATATTTTTTAAAATTAGCCAGACGTAGTGGCGCACACCTGTAACCCCAACTACTCCCGAGTCTAAGGCAGGAGAATCACTTGAACCAGGGAGGCGGAGGTTGCAGTGAGCGAGATCGTGCCACTACACCCCAGCCTGGGCAACAGAGAGATACTTTATCTCAAGATACTTTGTCTCAATTAATCAATTAATTAAAACAAACACATTCCCTGGGCTCTACCTCCAGATCTACAGTCTCCTTTCCTCATATTTTAAGTAAATTTAAAGTGGCTATCAGAATATTTATTCTTGTTTGAGACTACCAACATAACTAGATATTGAAGGTTCTTCACAGAGAATATATTGCCTTTAGTATGAAATAATTTCCCCCAATGTGCTAACTTCGATAAAGTATAGAATTTGTAGAATATTCAGTTAAGTAGTTGATAATCCTTTTCTATTTTAGTAAAACTTAATGCATGTTTACTTTTGTTGAAAGATGGAGACAGTCTCTTTGAACATGAATTGGGGGCTCTCAATATGGCTGCATTACTACGAAAAGAAGAAAGAGCAAGTCTTCTTAGTAATCTCGGACCATGTTGTAAGGCATTATGCTTCAGACGGGATTCTGCAATTCGAAAGCAGCTTGTTAAAAATGAGAAGGTACTGTTATTTCCTTGGAAAAAATACAAAGCGAATAGTGTGGGTGGCATATTTTTCATTTGATTGCTTTAAATTGAGATTGCATGTTTTTATCAGTTTGGTTTCCTAATCTTTTACACATGTTAAAGGAAGAATGCCATTAAAATTTATAATATGCTTTATTCTTCAATAGTATTAATGAATATTGGTGTTAATAATGAAAGTTTAAAATATTCTGTTTCTGTTAAATGTTTTTTATTTGTGAAAAGCTTCTTTCAACAAGCAAACATTACAAAAATGTATTTAAATTGAAACTTAAGGAAAAAAATTTCTTTGAGTGTTGTCGATATTTATGGAAGTATTTATGAGAATGTACAAAGTTGGAAGAAAGGGAAATAAAAGCGATTATATATAAGCATTTGAGAAGAATAAAGACATTGAGAAATAAGAAATTAGATTTGGAAGAAATCTGTTAATGAGATCTGGTAAACCCAAGATGAAAACGTTTTAGACTTTTTAAAGTTAAGAAACTAGGATGTATTTGGGGTGGTGGGTGGGTACAGGCAGTACAGATGGAGTATCCCTGATCCGAAACTTTCTGAGCGTCGACATGACCCTCAAAGGACCATGCTCTTTGAAGCACTTAGATTTTGGATTCTCAGATAGGGACACTCAAATGGATACGTAAATGTAATGCAAATATTCCAGAATCCAACAAAATTTCAAAATCGGAAACATTCCTGTTTCTGATCCAAAGCATTGCAGTTAAGGAGTACTCAACCTGTATGATAAAAAAAAGAGCTGGTGGGATTCTTTGCTTAGCAAGTTTAGAGTAATGAAAGTTTAGAGTAAGGAGTACTCAACCTGTATGACAAAAAAAGAGCTGGTGGGATTCTTTGCTTAGCAAGTTTAGAGTAATGATCCAATGGATAACTTCACTAGCTTTTTACCTGGGGGGCAATTAGGAAAACAGAAATCTTTTGCTATATAACATTGCTAAAGAAAAGGTAACTTCATTAAAGAAAAACACTCAGATTTAGGGCCGGGGGTGGTGGGGGTGGGAATTAAATTTTTCGAAAGAGGAGAATGAGTTTATCTCCAAACATTAAAATGGAAACAAATGCAAGGAATAGGAGACTATTTAAACACATCTGAACTGTATGATCAAGTTTTCCTCACTTAAAGTCTGGCTCAAGGTTATTTTTGACAGAATTACTACAGTCATTCTCCTTTGCCCGCCCCCCCCATTTCAATATGTGCTTTTCTTTGTTGTTTATTTTGTACCATTCCCTGGTCCATCCTTCAGGACAATAACTTTCCAAAAAATGCTAATGTAACTTTAAGTCACAATAATATAGTTACACATTTTAGTATAGGGGGTAGTAGTTCTTCAGTATACTGCATGATTAGCTGTCTTCTAAAGGATTTATTCAATTCTCGAGCTCACTTTTTATGGGACATTAACAGATTGGTAAGGAACATAGAACGTTTGGCTTACAGAAGGAAAAACCATGTGAGGAAGGGAGTCATGACACTTGTCTTTGCAGAACCAAAGGGTTGTCAAGTAAAAGTCAGATCGACTTACAGCGTAGCTCCGTAGAAGAGCCTTTATTTCAGCACATGGAAGAAATACTGCCATTCAACAGTGGAATGTGCAGTGTGTTTTTTGTTTGTTTTGAAATTGGAAATGATGAACTAGAAACTGGTTGATTACCTGTCAGAAATTGTTGAGAGGATTCCTACATTAAGCCAGAGGTCAGACTAGGTGCCCTCTAAAAGTTTATTTTCAAAGAGTCATTGAGCCCAAATACATTTTCTGATTTTGCTTTGAAATCCAATAAAGCTAATTTAATATCCAAAATTAAATACTCTTATAGCTTTGATATTTTGGGTAGAGGTTAACCTGCCCATCTTTCCTACTGTCAACTAATCATGTACATCTTTTTAAAAAAAATTTGTTTTTGTTTCTTAAATAGGGCACAGTAAAACAAGCATACACGAATGCTCCAGTGGTAGACAATGAATTATTACGACTGAGTCTTCGGTTATTTAAGCGGAAGACTACTTGCCATGCCCCAGGACATGAAAAGACTGAAGATAACAAACTCTCACAGTCCAGTATCCAGCAGGAACTGTGTGTGTCTTAAGACTGAAGCTCAGTATGGTATTTCTGTTACTGTCTTCCGTCAGCAAAGTTATTTGGTTTGACAAGCGTCATTAGTGACACAGGCAGAAAAGATTTATCAGCCACGCTAAAAGAGTGAAGAATTTTGATCTTTAGAGACACTGGTTTTGGCTAACTTGAGATTTTACATTAATTTTTACATAGTCCTTGACACTCATGCAAAATAATGTGAAAACATCTAGATTTAATAGTTTATTCTGCGCCTTTTGTTAAAACTGAAGATTTTGGAAAACGGTTGTCACTGCTCTTCCAGCCTACGAATATTTTTGTGAAATTGAACCGGTGATTTATGCTGGATCATCCATACAGAAGCAACAATTTTATTCAAAAACAGTGTGTTCATCAAAGGAGTTGCTCACATGGTGCAACACCGCGCTGTGCAGACCGTGGGAAAGGGAATGCTGGTACAGCTAGCCTGGTGTGTTTCTAGGGGAATCTCTAGCAGAAAGGAGCCAAAATAGTTTTTTCCCTTTGAAAGTCTTTTAAAAATTATTTCATGGGTCTTTTTTTTAAAAAACATTGATATGTGTGCATTGTTACAATGTATGTTAGATGTCTTTTGACTCTAAATGCTTTTTTTGTTGTCAGAGAGTGTGTACTATTTTTATTTTTAATAAACGTAACTTCCCTTTCCTTGTTTTAGATTTTACTTTGCTCTTCATTAATCTTGTTCCTGATGTTCTCAAACATTAGTGACCAACATTACAGTTTCATACTTCAGATGTTTTACTGCTTGTGTCCTTATTGTTGGATTACTTTAAACAGAGTTGATGTACTTCAAATATAGCTCATTAATACTTAAGGCATCTTGTTAGAATGTGGCTTTTGAAGAAAAAAAAATACTCAAAGCAAACCGAGAGTTAACAAATCTAACGTAACCTGAGGTTTAATAGTCTACTATCATATTTGTTAGAGCTATAATTTTTGATTATATTAAACTGCCTCCAGCTGTACTATGTAAAGCAGATTTACTTTTAAAAATTACAGTGTGTAATTTGTTCTGTATGTATATGTTTAACTCATGAAGTGGACTCTTAGAAGGATTTGAAATGGACTCTGGCCACAGAAATTGTGGGCAGACAGTAGTAGTGATAATAATAAAAGAAGCCAATCAAAATTCAAATTTATCATGCCCTCTCACAGGTTTTTGTTATAATTGTAAGCCTACATTATTTGTGTTAGCAGTTTTGTCTCTATAGGTAACATAATGACAGTGGTGTAAAGTTTCTGTATGTTATGCAGTCAATTTATACAAGATACTTACCCACCAAGGAAAAGGGTCTTATCTTCAGATGACTTTGAAAGCATGTATACTTGTAAACAGAGCAGGAGAAAAAATTAATCAGAATTTCTTTATGTCCTTTTCCTTTACTGAGTGTTTTGAATAAAGAAAAAAGAAAAAAAAATGACCTCGGAGAATGAATACACTTTAGGAAGCCACTCCCTGATTTTAGTGGATAATATTGTTCTCTGTAGCACAAAGATTTAAAGTCCTAAAATTTCTAATCCTAGTTCTCAGAATTGTGGAATATGACAAAAATAATGGTTTTTCCATTTGTCCACTGACTTCGGGGATATTTCACAAGTTATTTATTTATAGAATGAAAACTGTGTAGTTAAGTCATTCAGTGAAACCTGTTGTCTTTCAGTTTGAAATCTTTGTTATGTTGCAAAAGAAAATGTACAACTGTTCCTTTGGTCTCTCAGTCACAGCGTTCAGACCTTTATGATTCCAGTGGAAATGTACTGTGAAGTCTCAGTTACTTCTAATTCAGCCATTCTCAGGATTAGTGATATATACCTATAGAATTTTTCTAAAGCAAAAATTTTAATTGCATTTTTTATAAAAGCTCTTGGACCGTGATTAAACTTTCCGTTAAACTAGGATTCCTGTAAACAGTCTTCCAGTCTGTAAATGGTTTGCTAGTGGCAGTTAAAGGTCATCTGCCTTATAACCGATGGCTCAAGTCTGTCCAGTGGCCATACTTGCACAGCTGGATTCCAGCTGCTGGTAATAAGGAATTGTCTAGATAGATAAAGGGCAAGAGTATCCCTGCAATCCAAAGTAAATGAGAGTTAACACGTAATTATTTGGGCAGCCACCCTCACATAGTAAAGGGTCTACTGACAATAAACTTCACTTAACAAAGTTTTGTAAGCACACCTAAGTTGTAACTTTATATGCTGAAAAATCTGACCTGTCACTTCACTTCACTCTGACCAGTAATTGCAGGTTGTCTTCCCCATCTAGCCCATGACTACGTTAGGATTCATGACTTACTAACTTGAAAATCTGTGGCATTGGTAGAATATCCCACTTGGATCCTCACTGTCCAGTTGTGTAAAGATAAGATACATGCTATTGTTGATGATGCTTTTACACCTCAAGTTGCTATTTTAAAAGGTTATATGAACCTCTCCCGCTTTTAAGGATATTCCCCTTTACTGATTTTCCTACATAAACTATATAGCCATGTTTCTAAATATTGTATTTAAATCTGATCTAGGACCTAACCTTATTTTATCATTTTTCTTTAATAATCTCTAATAAATTTCTTTATTTATTAATTTTGTTGATATTTCCATTTGAGTATTTTGAATGCAGTGACATTCTGGGGAATCCATAGTTTAAATGGTGAAATACTTTTGTTAAATAACTTTCTCCCTGGATCTGTAAACATAATTTCTCAACTTTATTGAGCTGTTTCTTTCAGATTTATTTTTTAATTTTTTTTTTTTTTGTAGAGATAGGGTTTTGCCTAGGCTGGTCTCAAACTTCTGGCCTCAAAGCCATCCTCCTGCCTTGGCTTCTGAAAGTGCTAGGATCACAGGCATGAGCCACCATGCCCAGCCCTTCTTTTTTTTTCAGAGGCAGGGTATTTCTTTGACCCTCCAGGCAGGAGTGCAATGGCAGGATCATACCTCACTGTAGCCTCCAACTCCAGGGCTCAAGGGATCCTCCCACCTCAGCCTCCCAAGTAGCTGGGACTACAGCTGTGCATCATCATAACTGGCTAATTTTTTTTTTAAGTGGAAAGGTAGTATCTTGCAGCTGGGCATCATGGCTCATGCCTGTAATTCTAACACTTTGGTAGGCCAAGGTGGGAGAATTACTTGAGCCCGGGAGTTCAAAACCAGCCTGGGCAACAAAGTGGGACACCATCTCTATTAAAAAATACAGATATTAGCCAAGTGTGGTGGTGCATGTCTGTAGTCTTAGCTACATGGGGAGGCTGAGGTAGGAGGATTGCTTGAGCCCAAGAGATTGAGGCTGCACCGAGCTGTGATGACGCCTCTCCAGCCTGGGCAGCAGAATGAGACCCTGTTTCAAAAAAGTCAAAAGAGAAAAAAAGGATCTTGCTATGTTGCCCAGATTATCTCGAATTTTTGCCCTTAAGCAGTTTTTCCATCTCAGTCTCCCAAAGTGTTCAGATTACAGCCTCAGCCACCATCTGGTTATATATACTGTGATGGAAATATAACCTATCATATTATAGGTATGTAACTATATGCAGTTTACATTTTATTCATGTCTGTTTCCTTCCCATCTTTACCTAAGCTACTACAGTGTACAATTGTCATTTAACTGATTAACTAATCTAACATTAACAAACATTAATCAGTTATCCCTGCGTATTTCATATGTATTGCCGTAGTGCCAAATGCTGACTTTCTAATTCCATTGTTTCTTCTGCACTTAGTGGAATTCCCTTATCCTTTTATTTTCCCTTTTTTCATTTATTTGTCAGTATGAACTCATAGATTTCTATTTTATTTCATGGGTTATAATTCATGTATAATTCAGTGTACAATTGGAGTAGCTTAGGTAAAGATGGTAAGTAAACAGACATGAATAAAATGTAAATTGCAGTGATTGCAATGAAAGAACAAACCAAATGGCTGAGATGAGAAATAAAAGTAGCAACTGGGAGTTGGTTACTACTTCAGATTATCATGGTCTTCTGTATGAGTTTTTTAAAAAGTAAAGCTAGCAAAGAACAAAAGGGGGAGGAGTATTTTAGCAGAAGGATGGGAATATGCAAAGGCCTTAGGGAAAAAGCTTTGGTGAATTCCGAGACAGAAATAATAGTGTGGCTCAGCATTGGGTGGAGGGGGCGGGGCTTGCTAGAGAGAAGGTCCAGAACAGTGCTGTTCAGCAGAATGTTGTACAGTGATGGAAATGTTCTATAAGTGTGCTGCTGCCCAAAAAACATGACCAGTACAAGCCTCGTGTGGCTTGTATTAAACACTTGAAATGTAGCTAGTGTGACTGAGAAACTGTATTTTAAATTTTTGTTTGTCATTCCTTTTAAATAGCTATATGTGGCTACCATTTGGGGTGGTGTAGGTATATGTCTTGGCAAAGCCTTGTGAAACATGGAAGTGTTTCCCACAGTAGGGTATAAAACAAATTCTTCTGTTAAAACTTTTGTATTTAATGTTCTACGTACTTTCCGTGGCAAGTAGGACTGATTGTTTTAGTTTACTGTGGCAATATAATATTTCCTTTCAGAATAAATGTTAATGGCTAAACAAGTAGGTAATGTGGGAATAGGACAGAAATTACTGGTGCTCGGATAATTGAAGTTTAGAATTTGGAAGCAAAAGTAATAGGGAATAATGAAAAAGACATTCAGTCACTTCAAAACAGGCAAGCAGAAGAGAAAAAAGCAATAGAGACCAGTGAGACATAGAAAACACATGGATATAAGCCCAAATGTATTCAAAAATTATGCTAAATGAAAACAGATTCAGTATCCAATTAAAAGACAAAAGTTATCAAACTGCAGAAAAGCAACTACATGTTGCTTATGAGACTGACCTAAAACATAGGGAGCTTTAAAAATAAAAGGATGGAAAGAAGGTAACACCGTGTGAATTAAACATCAAGAGAAAACAATGTTAATCAGTTATCCCTGCGTATTTCATATGTATTTGCTGTAGTGCTTGCCAAATGCTGATTTTCTAATTCCATTGTTTCTTCTATACTTACTGGAATTCCCTTGCCCATTTATTTCCCCTTTATTCATGTTAGGGGAAATAATGGACTTTTATTTTATGGATTATAATTCATTATTGCTCAAAATGTCCAAGTTTTACACTTGTTAATTGACTTCTGTGTATATGTATGACAATTCCAATATTTAATGCCAACTCAGAATCTGTTTGTATTGTGTGTTGTTTCTGTTGGCTCTTTTGCATGTTTTCTTTTCTACTCTTAGGCCTGGTTATTTTTTTTGAGACGGAGTTTCGCACTTGTTACCCAGGCTGGAGTGCAATGGCGTGATCTCGGCTCACCGCAACCTCCGCCTCCCGGGTTCGGGCAATTCTCCTGCCTCAGCCTCCTGAGTACCTGGGATTACAGGCACACGCCACCAGGCCCAGCTAATTTTTTGTATTTTTAGTAGAGACGGGGTTTCACCATGTTGACCAGGATGGTCTCGATCTCTTGACCTCGTGATCCACCCGCCTCGGCCTCCCAAAGTGCTGGGATTACAGGCTTGAGCCACTGCACCCGACCAGGCCTGGTTATCTTTATATGCCAAAATCCTGTTGGCAAAATTGTTTCTAGAAAAAATGTTGAGGTCTAAGATGCTGCTGTCCAGACACAAGTTTTGTTTGCTTCTGTCAGCTGCCCGGGGTCACTGTCAAACTGAAAACATCTCAATCCAGTTTTAGGAACTCAGATGGTCTGCGTCCCCCAGATGACCTGTGTCTTGGCTGCACTTTCTGCATGGGCACTTTAGCTCACTGTTATTCTAGGGTTCAGCCTTTGGGGTCTAGATCCAAAGTGCAAGGGCTTATAAGAACCTCCATTGGTGGAGCCGGTGTGCCAGTGTTCTCTGCCTTCCCCAAGTGGACATCACGACTTGTGATCAGTTTCTCAGTCTCTTTTCCAGATTTTTAAATGGCACCTAGGCAAAAGTGACCCCAAATGTCAGGTTCACCCCTGGATATCTATCTCCTGAATTTTGACCCAGGAATTTTTCCTCATCTTACTGACTTTTCAGTGTTAAACCAGTCTTTAAAATAAATGTTTTGTCCAGCCTCTCCAGCTTTTAGTGTGAAGTTATTCTGAATTATCCAGCCTACCATTACCAGAACAGTTTAATTTTTTTCTTCACTT